ACGACTCAGTCCCGTCGCTGGACCCAAAAGCTGGTGCTGATCCTTCCGCCGCTGCTGCTGTTCCTGCTGCGGACCGAAGCTCTGCAGGGTTTGGAGAGTGAGGATCGGTTCCGGACCCGCGAAAACGAGTGCCACTTCTATGCTGGTGGACAAGTGTACCCGGGAGAGGTGTCCCGGCTTTCAGCCGCAGATCACTCCCTGCATCTAAGCAAAGCCAAGAGTAGGTGGTGCTCTGCGAAGGTTGGGTGGATGGGGGCAGAACTCGGGGATACTTAGACCCTTATTGTGGATGCTACGAAAGGGTGGGGCTGGAGTTGGGCCGCTCCCCCAAGGCTGAGCTCTGGGTCCACCCCGTTGCCTTTGTGGGTGTGAGGATGGAGGTGGGTTCCTGGTGTGAAGAAAGAGTTTCCTCTGGTCAGATTTCGGGAGAGGTAGCGGTTACCCCTAAAGCCGCAAATGGGGGTGTTCCTAGTCCCAGGCTTGCAGACATGAAGGATGTTGTGAAAACTAAAAGACTTCCTTAAATACCCGAAAATGCTTGCAGCAGTCCTGTCTTTTTCAGGGAAGAAAGTACACTGATAAGTTGAATAATGATTCACAGAAAGTTTGATTAAACAGAGAGGTGGTTAAACAAATATTGAGAAGGTCAAACTTTTTTTTCATACCATACAAAGATTCTTAGTGAAGTCATCTCCCCCAAATTTGTAGAGTTAGTGACTATCGAAGGTTCAAAAAAATGAAGACTTTATTAGAGTATTTTGGAGGGAAACTGGGATAGGAAGTCGAAGTAGCACAATTGGACTGATGGGTAAATCCTGTGTACTGTTTATTGGGTTTTTTCATTATTTGTCTTTCTGTCCAGTGTTTGAAGCTAGTGGACACGTCAGACTAAGTAGACAGTGAGAAAATTGCGGCCTGCTGCATATGGATATTAAGATTGCCAAATAGAAGTGACCAGGACATCCAGACAAAGCCTGTGTCTTAGTTGCTTTTCCCTAACCCACTTTTCTTAGGGATTATTTGACATTCTGTGGGTGTATGTTTGAATTTTGGTTGTTGCAGCACATTATGTTCTGGTATTCGGTGAAAAAAAATAGTCATACTTGACAATTTGAGGTCTGCTTTTTGAGCATAGGGTCTGGACAGATGTGATAGAATGGCTTCAAACACTATGGTCCTCCTTCTTCAGCTTGCAGAGATCTGGGGTTACAAATGTGCCCCACCACAGTTGGCTACTTCACAGTTATGAACCTCCAGAGATAATGGGATGTCACTACCACATGCAATGAATGACAAAGGCTGTTTTGCCTCCTTAAGCATTTGTGGTTTCATAGTACCAGATAACTACTTTGGGATTGTTTTTAGAAAGCCAGTTTTGCTTTAAAACAGTAATATTTCCAAGTCCCATTGATTTCACTTGACTGAGGAAGACAGTCTGAAATGTGTTTACTCAAATATACTTCCTGCTGGAAACAAAGCCATTCCAAAGCTGTATTTGGAAGTAAAGAAAAACTAGTAGGTATAGTAGCTTTCTGTTTACCAAAAACCTTTCAATTTTTATATAATTTTTACATGTTTTTGTCATATACAGACTTACCTAGAATTAAAGGGGGTATTTTAGAGCAATTAAGTCTATATTTTCAAATCATTTTAACTACATTTTCAATGACGGAAAAGATGAGGATGCAACATGATCCAGATATGTGTTTGGAAAAAGTAGGAAAGGTCAAAATGTTAACAATAGTAAAACCAATGATAGACAGAGGGTTTAAGTTGTCTTCATTATTCTTCTCTGTGTTTACCAGAACCCTTATGCTAATGCATATTTAAGACAGTGTTGTTTGTTTTTTGAGACAAGGTTTTCTATGTAGCCCTGGCTGTCCTGGAACTCACTATGTAGACCACCAGGCTGGCTTCGAACTCACAGAGAACCACCTGCCTCTGCCTCCTGAATGCTGGGATTAAAGGTGTGTATCACTATGTTTTTTGTTTGTTTTGTTTTTAATAGATACAGAGGGTTTTTTAAGGAATTTTTTATTTAAAAATCTTAGCAAAGTAACTGCAGTTAATATCAAACCATAAATTTGCAAACATCAATTTTCAGAACAAGATTTATTTCCCTGACATGGTTTTCTGTATATGTAAAATCCTTAAGGAGTGTCGTAACAGATCATTACAATTATTATTATCTCTTTCTTATTTCAGCATTTGAAGTGATGACTATAAAATATACAGACTTTAGCACGTTTCTTATATTCTTTTCTGGCCCTCCTTAATAAGATCAGGATTGTTTATATTAGGTAGTTCTGACTCAGGGTAAGAAATCACATGTTATATATAAACTTCACAAAGAAATTCATCCTCAGTTTGTCTCTGTAGAGCAACTGTTAGTGCTGGCTTTTACACAAAAATATAAGGCTTAATTCTAGAAACTTTAGTTCAACTTGGAAGCAAGTATTTGTAATGGTTTTGAAAGTGTTATTTGAATGTGTCAACAGCATGAAGGAACATTATTATCAAAGGGTGCTAGCTAGAGTTACAGCATGCCTTTATAGGACAGCAGCACGACTGAATGTGCATCGGGTCATTTGAAACCAGTTCAAAGGGGTTGGGGAATTTCCTTTTTCAAAACCTTCTAGGAAAACTATCCCATGATCTGGGATAACTTGAAGGGGCTGTGATGAAATAGCCAGTGGTGTTTAGTACAAGAATAAGATATAAGACTTTGTGGGCATGGACAGAAACATTTTTCTCCTTTCATTCAATTAATGTGTGTTAATTACAGTAACCAGGAAAAATTCTACATAAAAAAAGTATTTTAACTAACATCCAACTGAAATTTAGCATTTCCTCCTATTACAGAAATGTGCAACAACTCACTCTCAATCCAGAAGTACTTGCTTGTACCTGGTGCCCACTGGGACACAGAGACTTTCATGCTATATGATAGTTATCACAGGGATTCTGTCATTGTTATCTTACAGAGTTATAGGGTCACTCACATATCTTGTACCTTGAAGGTGTGATTGAACACACACCTATTGCTACATCACCAACTTTTTAAATGCTTATACTTGGATTTCAGGGTAATTATAGATTTCTTTGCAATTCTATGTATCTTATATTCTCTAACAGTAAGTTATTGTTATAAGTTCTCAGAAGTATGTAGTCTTCCAGACTGCCAACGAAGTCTGACTCTTCAGAGTTTTTCTAACGTTGTCCTTTGCCATTCCAACAACTTTCTCAGTGTCATAGAACATTGTTTTTCTTTCTTAGTTTCTAAGCCAGCACCTTACTGGGAAGGAACAGCTGTGATAAATGGAGAATTCAAGGAGCTGAAACTGACTGACTATCGTGGGAAATACTTAGTTTTCTTCTTCTACCCACTCGATTTGTAAGTAATACACACAAGTATCTACTAATAAAATTCCAATCTTTGTCATTCGTTATCCAAGAACAACAAACAGAATTTGTTTTTTAACTGATGGTTCTTAGTAAGGCAAGCTTGAGAGGAGGAAGGTAATACCTACCATATATTGGAGTCACAAAGACAAGAAAATAGACTGATATGTTAGCAAGTAGTTATGCAAGAGTTAATACATAATTCTGTTTACTATAAAGGCTTTGCCAGTTTTATTTTCTGTATTCCTGAGATTTGAACATTTTAATAATATCTATTTAATATATATAGTAATACTTTTTGATTGTGGGGTTCTTCAATTGTGACAGCATTATTTGAATGGCCATAAAGTCAATTATAAATTGTCTTGAGTTATTCACTTCATGGAGTTTATTTTGAAACATACAATTCTGAGAATGCCTTACTCATGAAAAAGTGAAAAGCAATAAACAAAAAATAGTTATTTCAACCTCTTAATTTTTTTCTATTTGAATTTTTGTGGGGTAGGGTTACAAAAAGCAACTAAAGAATCCCTTTACATTTGCCACTGTACCTTTGTCCAGTAAGATGAATCTAGAAAAGGTGAAATTTAAATTCATTTCTATACATTGTAAGCCAGAAGTTAATATTTTCTCTGAAGGATGAAGAACTGTAAGTGGTTTTAATCTTGTTATCTCTTTGGATCTGTCCTTCTTCCCCATTCCATGCTTGGATCTATAGATAAAATATACATGCATGGTTGCTGCTTTGCTTCAGAGAAATCTCACCATTAAAGGGCAGGATTTGGCCAGTAGAACAAAGTTTGCCAACCCTTTGTACTAATCCAACTGGAAAGAATTTTAATAAATATTAGAGCACTAAACCCAAAAGAAGTTATCTCTCTAATCGACCTATACTCTGGCTCAATCAACTAAAAGAATAAGTTAATTTCTAACAGAAACCAGAAGCAGAAATCTTGAGATAATAAGAAAGAAGGGTTAATCTGACCATTAACTCTTTTAGAAAATGTTGGAAGTATGTTATATAGCCAAGGTTACCAGGGACAGTTAGATAGACCTGTTTGTTTGCCTCTGGCAATGTTCTGCTTGAACAACTGAATTATTTTTAAATCTACTATTGGGCTCAAGTATCAACTTGTCCCCCAAATCTATATTTTCATGCTTTTGGGCCATGACCCAGACATTAAGAATCACATATTTCATTGCCACCTACTACAGATGGATATATACATAGGGTAATTAATATTCAGTCTGTGTGCACAAGCACAGCCATGCTTAGTGTTAAAATACTGAAAAATTTCCATACAAAGTGGTAAGTAATCACCTTCTCAAAACACCTCTCCAATTTGGCAATCCCAAGTGTTCCCTAGCTTCAAGTTAAGATTTAATATCACTACTAAACATAAATTTATATGTATACAGATGTCTAATAGATAGCGTCATTGTGTATGATATATTGTCATTTTTGTATTACATTTTAACATTGGTTGCCGCTCACAAAATTAGTTTAACCATGGTTTGAAAACAATTCTCCCCAGTGGGGCTAGAGAGATGTCTCAACAGTTAAGAGAAATGGCTGCTCTTCAGAGGACCCAGGTTTGATTCCCAACACCCACATGACCTCTTACAACCCTCTGTAACTACAGTTCCAGGTGACTTCATACTCTCTTCTGGCCTCCTCAGGTACCAAGCACATACATGTTATACAGACATAAACGTACAGGCAAAACACTCATTAACATAAAATAATACAACGTTTTTAAAGGTTATTGCACAGAATAATATCCTTTCAACCTGCCTTTCTGATAGAATTTTATATTCCCCGGGCATATTTTACATGGAGCTGGAATACAATGTGGAAGAAGAACTATCTAGAAGCAGGAGGTAGGACTAAGAAAGACGAAGCCAAACATTATAGACATTGCTTAGTTCCCTTGAAATCTGTAAAACACTAAACTACAAAATATTAATTAAAAGCTCATGAAACGGTATTGCTGTGAGGAAGAAGGAAACATTGGTCACACATAGATCAGTTGTAAGAAGAATATTTGAAATGCAATTGAGAACTCAAAATGTGTTTAGAATATTTAATTAAATACTGTCTTAGAATTTCACTTGAAAACTCATCTATGATCTGTCCTTAAGATATGTTGATATATTGAGAAGTGTCTGTAATAAAAGCTTGTTTGAAAGTTCAGCTGTTTGCTTATTTTGAGAATAATTGACCTGTTTTCTTTTTTCAACTTTCAGCACTTTTGTATGTCCAACTGAAATCATTGCCTTCGGTGACCGAATTGAAGAATTCAGATCTATAAATACTGAAGTGGTGGCATGCTCTGTCGACTCTCAGTTTACCCACTTGGCCTGGTCAGTGTTTGCCTTAAGTCTGGGATAAAATGAATAGATTTACTTCTTAGTCATGTGCAGATAGCTCCTAATATGATAATATAATTTTTTGTGTATCCTTGATGTGAAAAAGAATTAGAACATATTCTGTTACATAGTTATCAGTATTAGTTCAGTCATTAGCTTTTATAATTTTCAAAACAGTAATATTTTTAAAAATTAACTTTAGACTAGTGTGGCTGAAATAGAGAGATCTCTGTGAGGTCAAGGCCAGTGCAGTCTACAAAGTAGATCCTGTCTCAGGATACAAAAACAAAAAAAAAGGTTCTAAGAGTAATTTCTAAAACTTTATTAACATGAGAAGATGTTTCACCAAACAAGCTGCAAAGAACTGCAAGTTAAAATGATAAGACATGCCATTTCACCCTGTCTCATTGGCCAAGATTGAAAAACATCTGATTGTTGCTAGATGTGTGAAGGAATGACACTCAGACATAGTTGCAGGTTCAGCATTTCTGGAGAGCAGCTCAGCAACATGTATCAAAATCTGAAAAGTGTATGGGTATATGAGCTTTGAATAATGTCAGCAGTTTTGTGCTGAAAATTTTTCACACAGTAAAGATCATTGAGAATTCTTTTAATTTTAAAATGTAATATTTAATCCATTAAACTTATAAATGCAAAGCATAAGTGTTTTCCCTACTGGCAATTTTTATAGACACATTAAAATGTTTAAGTATATATGACAAAGTCCAATTGGTTGGAGACCTACAATTATAAATAACATATATCCTGATTACTAATAGAATAATATTAAGTCTATGTGCTCGTTTGCTTTATAATTTTTGTAATGATTATAAATCTTCTAGGATTAAAATACATGTGAACTAAGGAAAAACTTATACCATTCCGCATAATTTGGGTGTGTTTTTCTTTTATTAAGATTTATTATTTATGTATTAGTGCTCTATCTACATGTTAACCTGCATGCCAGAGGAGGGCATTGAATCCTATTGTAGGTGATTGTGAGCCACCATGTGGGTGCTGGGAATTAAACTCAGGTCCTCTGGAAGAGCAGACAGTGCTCTTAACCACTGAGCAATCTCTCCAGCCCTCTAGTGTCCTTTTCTATGGGAATTTGATGCTATGTTCTTAATTAGCTAAGTTTTATACTAATCCTAGCCAACGTTTCCACTTAGAACTGGGGCTGCAGACCCACAGAGCAGTATTTCCATTTCTGGTTTGTTTTATTTTGCTACTATGTCAGTGTCCTCCCATGGGGTAACAGTGCACAAGTACTGTGATTTCAGATTACAGATACTTAAATCTGAGGACTGATGGATTTGCCATTGTGACTAAGTTCTCTCATTGTTTCACATGGAGTTTGTCTTCTTGGCCTTGCAGAGCAGTGAAAGATCTCATTGGATCCCACCTTTTTCAAGGCCTTGTATTGTGATCTGTTCTAAGACTTAAGACACACCCTTTTATTATATTAAAATCTAGTATTATATATAATTTATGTATGTTTTAAAAAGCCTATCCTTCTGGGCATGGTGGTCCATGCCTTTAATCCCAGCACTGGGGAAGCAGAGGCAAATAGATCTGCGTGAGTTTTAAATCAACCAGTAATCCTATGTTGCATACCTTAAGTGTACACCCTCTATCATTTCTGCTTCTAGAAGGTAACAGTGAAATATGCAAGCATAAGAGTATATGAAGCTTTCAGTGGTGTTTATTAAATAAAAATGCAATCAGTTTTATGGCTGCCCAGAGAGATCAATAAAATATGGTATTTCATATATTAAAAATGCCATGTGTATCAGCATTTAGTACTTAAAGGATATGGATATACTTACTACCCAGTGAGAAAAAAAAGGCATGAAAATAGAAAGTACAGAGGCCTGTTTTTGTTATAAAGTATATATATATATATATATATATATATATATATATATATATATTGTATAGATGTACTTTGATATGTGAAAAGAGAGTTTATTTTTAATATGTCACTTATCTCTGAGAGAGCTAAAGTGTTCTGTCTATTACAGGATTAATACCCCTCGAAGACAGGGAGGACTGGGGCCAATAAGGATTCCACTTCTTTCAGATCTGAACCATCAGATCTCAAAGGACTATGGTGTATACCAAGAGGACTCAGGCCATACTCTTAGGTACCCTTCTTTGGTTAACATTTTGAGAAATGCAAGTACATTTATAATCTTCCTAGAAATGGGTGATACTTTAGAGTTAGAAGATATTTTGATCAAAAGTACTATTTTGCTGTATTTGCAGGAATGTTATAGATAGTTTTTAAACTGTTGATGTCCTATTTAAACTGGAGTTGCATACTGTGAGATCTGGTAGAGGGCTTTGACAACCTCTATTTATTGATAAAAAGAAGCAGATGTGTGGATTTCTATAAATTTAGTGAGAGTTATAGAATAAGTTAATAGCAGAGACCACACTTGTATCTGAGTCTACTAACCCCTTAACATTTTCCTTTTTTCTGAATTGGCTCAAGTAATGTTTTTCTAATATCTGCTTAGTACTTTGCAAACCTGTATCTTCGGAAAGACTAAGGCAGTATCTCACCCAGCAGCCTTTTCAGCTTGTTTTTGGTTTTTGATTATTTGAGACACTATAGCTCTGGCTGTCCTAGAACTCACTTTGTAGATCAGGCTGGCAGCTTTTACATGAGCTAGTAAGTACAAATAGAATTCTTTGATAAAAAGGGCAATTTTAGCCTTAAAAAGTTAAGTGTTTGAACACTGACCAAGTAATATTACCTAATACAGAATTTGCCCTTTTATTTTGATTAATAGTTTTTTTGAGATAAGGTTGTCCTTGATTTGAACTACATTACATTAAAGATGACATTGAACTCCTAATTATCCTGTGTGTGTGTCTCCCCCGCCCCTTATTTAAAGTCAGATTAGAGATTTTTTTCCCTTCAGAGGGAGGAATTCTTTGTTTTCTGAAACAGAGACTTATGTAGCCTTAACTAGTCTGGAATTGGCTGACCTCCAACTCACAGAGATCTATTTGCCTTTGCTTTCCTGGTGCTGGGATTAAACACATGGGCCACCAGATGTATTAAGTTTTTTCTTAAAACATTATTTACATATAATATGGGATTTTTTGGGGGGGGGGATTGAGACAGGGTTTCTCTGTGTAGCTTTAGAGCCTATCCTGGCACTCGCTCTGGAGAGCAAGCTGGCCTCGAAGTCACAGAGATCAGCCTGCCTCTGCCTCCCGAGTGCTGGGATTAAAGGCGTGTGCCACCAACACCCAGCCTATAATATGAGATTTTTGTACATGTAGATAGTGACTGTATCTTGATCATACTAAACTCACCATTGTACTCTTGTCCCACTCCTGCTGATCCTCCTAATCATCCTCTACTTTCATGCCCTTTTTGCATATGTGTGGTCCAGTGATTTTAAGTAGGTTCAGTGATTTTATAGGACCATGGACACCTTACCAGTGGCTGAAGAAAATAACCATTAACTGCCTAGAGATACACAAGGAGGGGTTAAGCCCTTCCATTGCCTTCTTATAAATCCTGAAAGATGGGAGGACGCTGTCATCCAAAAACAGATTTTCGCCTCCCCCAAAACCAGGTTTTTCAAATTATATGTGTGTCTGTGTGTGGATATGTGCCTTCGAAAAGAGACATCAGATCCCTGGAAGTGGAGTTAATGGCACTTATGAGCTGCCTGAAGTGGGGGCTGTGAATTGAACTTGGGTCTTCTGAAATTGCAGTGTGTGCTTTAACCTGCTGAGGTATCTCTCCAGTTCTTCAAAACCAAAATTTCAAACTATTTGACAGTGATAATCCAAAAGTCATAATAGGAATGTACGTGGCAATAGAATAGTACTGCTAACTCTATATAGCAGAATACTTACCTTAACTGAGAAGAAATGGAATCACTTTTACCATCCCTGTGCTTTACAGAGGCCTCTTCATTATTGATGACAAAGGAATCCTAAGGCAGATTACGCTGAATGACCTTCCTGTGGGTAGATCAGTGGATGAGACACTGCGCTTGGTTCAAGCATTCCAGTACACTGACAAGCATGGAGAAGGTACCTTCCTTTTCTAAAACCTTATTTTCTTATTTGACAATATCAATATATGTTTATAATGAATTTTGATCTTTTTCACCTCTCATTACCCTCTTATCCACTTCTCTCACCAAAATTCTTCTCCTTTATTCCAAGCTCCCTCCTACTTTTCATTGGAGACACATTGAGCTTTATTAGGGTTGCTTGCATGAACATGACTCAAAGGGATGACTTACCTAGGCTTTTTAGTTCACCAGATTTTCCAATGTTATTATAAATGTCCAATTTATTTTCCATATTGTAACTGCAAGTAAGTATAATTGGTAAAATTAAAATAAATAAGCTGCCTGCTAATAAACTCATGAATAAAATTCTTTAGTGTTGGGGCTGGAGAGATGGCTCAGAGGTTAAGAGCACCAACTGCTCTTCCAGAGGTCCTGAGTTCAATTCCCAGCAACCACATGGTGGCTCACAACCATCCGTTATGAGATCTGGTGCCCTCTTCTGGTGTGCAGATATACAAGGAAGCAGAATGTTGTATATATAATAAGTAAATAAAATCTTTAAAAAAATTCTTTAGTGTTAGCAGACAAGCTAACAAGCCAAGTGCTTGGTAGTCTAAACATGTTTAATATGATTTTTTTCTTTCATATGGAAATAGGTTCAGGAGTTGCTTAAGAAAATTAAACTGTTTTTAACTGCCTTTGTCTTATTTTTGTTCCTTTTAGTCTGCCCTGCTGGCTGGAAACCTGGTAGTGAAACAGTAAGTCATATTGATTTTGTTATTGTTGTTGTTGTTGCTAAAGGCATGCCCAGAAGCAAAAATGTATGCCAGCTTTAATGTGGTCTTTCCTTATAATCAGACTGTCCTGATTTCTAAAATGAACAAATCATTGTTAGGGAGAAATCATACTGCAGACATCCCTTGGACTGGCAGGAGAGTAGCTAAAAGCAGAGACGTCATAATATGGATAATACTGTGAAATTTAAAGCTAACTATCCAGAGAAATACACTGTTTTAAAAAAAGGAGAAACTAAAAGTGCAAAGTAGAGATGTAGAAGAATCAACTTAACGTTCATGTATAGAATTTCTTCCCACATTGTGAGCCAAGGAAACAGTCCCGAGAAAACCTGTCTTCATAGGAGAAAGCTTTGGAGAAAATCTACTTTTAATGATCACCAAAAGCTAATGGTTTGCTCCTTGTCATTTAAAGAAAAGATTCAAACAGATACACTTCTGCCCTTAGGGATACTGGTACACTTCATAAGTAGCCTTTGCCTAGAATGACTTGGAAACTTGCATGAACCTTTTCTTAAATAATAATCTAAAATCTTTCAAGTTTTTAGCTTCTGAAAATCAAACAGTATTTAGGAAAATAATTTTCAGTATTTAGGAATAAATTTTCTTAAAATAGAAGTACCATTAGCGAGAGACAGCCAGGAGTGATAAACTCTTTACCTTCAGATGTGCTCCTTTCTTTTTTTTTGACCATGGATCCTGCCTTAGTGTTTTGCCTTCTGTGTTCTTTCTTAAAACATTGTTACTATGTATTGTATGTTTGTATGATAGGGGCCTATGCATGCCACCATGTCTATTTGGAGGGCAAGCCACAACTTGTGGAGTCTGCTCCCTTTCACTTTTATGAGGGTTCCAGAGGTCATCAAGTGTGCATGGCAAGGGCTTTTTACCAACTGATCCAACTTTCTGACCCCTTCGATATTCTTTCTGTATTGTCCTTTGTGTGCTTGACTGGCTCTTCCTCTTCACTCATATTTCAGCTAAATGTCATCTTCAAAGTCTTTTCCACAGTACTCTATTTTTTCAACTTTTTTTTTTAATTTGAATTAGAAACAGGATTGTTTTACGTGACAATCCCAGTTCCCTTCTCCCTCCCGTCCTCCCCCTCAACTAAAACCCTACCTATCACATATCCTTTCTGCTCCCCCCTAGATGGTGAGGCCTTCCATAGGGTATCATCAGAGTCTATTGTAGTACTCCATTGTGTAAATGTACCACATTTTCTCTATCCATTCTTCAGTTGAGGGGCATCTAGGCTGCTTCCAGTTTCTGGCTATTGGCTGGAAGTCCACAGTACTCTATACCAACCCCATTCACTATCCCATTAACCTGTTTTTAAAACTATTTACCAGTCTAAAAATGATAGAATATAAGTCTGAAGACAAGGGATATTGGTTATCTAGTTCATTAATGCATGCTGTCTGGCTAATAGTTTAAATAGTTGTCATATAGCAGGACTCAGTAAATGTGTATTGAAAGAAGGACCCAAACTGAAAACATGTGGAATTATTTTTGTCAGTTAAGAATTAAACAGAGTATATGTTAACACATACATTTTTCTTTATTTATAAGCTGTCTGTGCTATTTTTTTCACTTTGCAGTTTGAGATTATAAATTGTTGCATTATGAGCCAGGCTCATGGACATAAACCTGTAATCTTAGCTACTTAGGAAGTTGAGGTAGTAGGATTGAAATTCTTGGCCTGCCTAGTCTATACCTGAGTTCAAAACTAAGATAGGAAATACAGCGAAGTCCTGTCTCAAAAAAGAAAAGCTTTAAACAAAGCTTTAGATACAGCTCCATGCTAATGCTTTTGTTTACCAGTTGAAGGGCCAGGGTTCAACCCCCCAGTACTTGAAATACCTTTAAAATTAATTTGATGAACCTTAGTCAACACACAGCCCCCTTTTCAGGCTATTACATAACATTTAATCAGAAAATACATTATAAAATATGTTGACATCTGTGGCCGTGCTTTCAATGTGTTTAATTAGATTGGGCTCAAATGTGCAATGGAAGGGCTGTAGGAAATTTTTGGGTTGCCTGGGTACATATGATATTAATCAACTGAAAAATGTATTATTTGCTTCTTGGGGTATCTGAGATTAGTAGATATTACAAATCTAGTTTTTCTTAAACATAATACGTAATTTGATTTGTTTTACAAAATCAATGGTAACATCTTAAAGAGGAGGGTAATTAATGCCAAACTATTCATAATGTACTTTGGCTCTTTTTAAATGACGAACTTGCTTTTTGTTTTAACAGATAATCCCAGATCCAGCTGGAAAACTGAAGTATTTCGACAAACTGAACTGAAAAATACTTCAGTTTTGATGTTTGGACCTTCTCAATAAAGGTCACTGTGTTATTACCATTGGCTTCCCATTGTGATTTTGTAGATACTATCAAAATATGAGTCACAGCCCAAAGGTATTTATTATTGAAGGTAGACATTAAACACAAAAAAATTCTAAAGTAAGAAATAATGAATTGAACAAAACTCATAATAAATATAACTGCCATTTATGAACTACATACCATGTGGTAGGCATTGTATTAAGGAGACCTGGTACATTCTCATTGTATTATTTATTATTGTAGGATAAGGAAAGGAGGGTAAATTACTCGTTGTTAACATATAGTTAGCATAGGCAGCATGAGACTTTGAACCCAGACAAGCTAACTCTAGTATGTGAGCTCTTAACAATCCACTGTGACTCACAGGTCTCCAAATCTCTGAGCACAGCATTGTGAGCATCTTCCATACCATCAGACCCCCACAGTTGAAGCTCACCGATATGTAACAATACAAAGCTTTCTGACTCCATCCTTTCTCTAAACTCACATTTTCAATTTAAATAAAAATCTAACATAGTAGCTGATATGTTTTATATTTAGTTTAAGAAATAAAAATTGAAAAAATAAAAACAAACTCTTAAGTGTCTATAGCTAGCCATATATAAAGCAGAAGTACTCTAGTACTTCATCCCTCATGTGTTTCATGTAGTTAAGGGGCCCGGTATCCAGAAGAATCGACCTCTTCCTCTCTTCCATGCTAATGCTGCTGGTATTCAAATCTCCTTTCCCTGGAAAGGCCATCACTATAAGTGGTGGGCTTATTACTGGCTACCTGGCAGGTGATTGATCATAGTTATTTGGAAATGGACATTTGGACCTAAATGCCATTCAAGTGGTAGCTTGCAGTCAGAATAAAACAGCCTTTTAGTGTGAAGTTGAAGACTATTTGTACTTTGTAAAATGGATTTGTGAGAACTTTAACACACCTATTACAATTGGTCTCCTAAGACTTCCATTCCTTTATATATGAAAAAGACAGATTTTTTTCTTTTGCTTGTTTATTAAGACAAGGTCTTAATAACTCTAGATTGGCCTGGAATTTTCTGTGTCACCCAAGCTGGTCTTGAACTTCAGACTATCTTACTGCATATACCATAACACACAGAACAATTAAGCCTATCTTCTTCATCAATACTTTCTGTGAAGTTTTGTTAGATTCTTGTTCGTTTTTAGGTAGGAGTACAGCATTTTTTAGATACACTCAACAAAGCCAGTTATTAATGTGTGTCAACATTCAGCAAATTTGATCATCTAAACAGCTGGCAGAAGTGATGACCAGATGACAAATTTCTGTCTTGAAGGAATCTATTATCTGATTACTAAAGTGGTGTTCAAACTATAATAATTTCTGGGTAACTACAAATAAACACACTTATGCTCATGACTTTTCACAGTAACTGATACAAATATCCTATGACTTAAATTCTATGCCCTCTCTTGTCTATTCTAAACTAATTAGTGAAAGTCCACAGGTCCAAATGACACCCTAAACAAAACACTGGGAGGAAGTCTGGAGGCCTCTTCCCAGAAGGTGGTACCCTCCATCACCTAGAGAAGGACTGTTTAGTGAAGTGAGAATGGCTTTCACCCTCATTGGCACAGCAGTGACTGGAGATGCTTTATTTTTTTTAAGATAAAAATGTACTTGGTGTGCTTCCTTAATGATTTTAGGATTATCTTGTCAGAGAACTGTTAACAGTATCGGTGAAGGGCCCATAAAATGAGATATTGCAGTCTAGCTAAAAATGGAACCTAAGCACAAGGAGAGGTATGTGGGGGAGGTTATGTAGAAAGGAAACAGAAGGGAAATGATATAATTGTAATCTCAAAAAAATAGTAATTTATATTTATAAAAAGAATGGAATCTGGCCAGGTAGTGGTGGTGAACAACTTTAATCACAGCACTGGAGAGGCAGAGGCAGGTGGATCTCTATGAGTTTAAGGCCAGCCTGCTTTACAGATTCAGTTCTAGGACAGGCTCCAAAGCTACACAGAGAAACCCTGTATCAAAAAACCAAAAATGGGGGGGACCTGTTTCCAGGTGCAATTATGCCATTGTCTCCTCATAACTTAATGGGGCTGAAGAGGTGGTTCAGGAGTTAGGAACGTTTATTGTTCTTCCAGAGGACCAGCGTTCAGTATCCAGTACTGCTCAGGCACCTGTAACTCCAGCTGCAGGGGTTATGTATCTGGCCTCTGAGGCACCTATAAGTATGTGAACATACACATGCACAATAAAAAAATAAAATAAAATCTTTTTAAAAAGAAGTTAATCCAGTCAGGCAGATCAGTCACCTGGCCAAGTAAATACCCCTCAAGAAGGCTGATTCAGCTTAAGCTATGTGGGGATCAGAATTCCTGAGTAAATACCCCTCAAGAAGGCTGATTCAGCTTAAGCTATGTGGGGATCAGGGTCCCTGCCCCCTACAAGCCTCTCTGAGGTTCTGTTGGATCTGTCCCCCTTGGCTGTGACTTTTTCTGCTGTCATTTCTTTCAGACACTGGCTAGAGCTTTATTGCACTTTCTTTAGTACTTCAGGCTTTTTTTCACACTTTCTCTAAAGCTCCTCTTCTTTGCAATGTCTCTGTTTGTCCACCATGTGGTAGGCTTGGCTCTTTGTCTTTTTGCTGTCTCCCTCCTTTGGACAGATACTAAGATTTTTCTGACCAGAGACTATTCTTTTAAACCCTAAAAAAGTCCCTGAGTTGAAAAATACTTGTGGAAGAGCTAGGGGCAAGAGGCTCAGGAGTAGAGCATGTACTTAGGATGCATGGAGCCCCGAGTTCAATCCCCGGCACCCAGAAAGAAGGGTGGAAGCCAGAGAACCTGCTAAATATCCTGCCAAGCATGTAACAATCTCTCAAGAGAATTACATGGTCCTCCTCTCCCTGAAGATTTATAAGCAGTTAACACCTGCTTTGGGGGAGAAGCCCCCAAACAGCTCTCTAAACAGCTATAGGTAGATAATGATTGTTGGACTGGGGGAGAGACAATTTTTGTCAATGATGCACTCACTGATAAGGGACATGTGTTCTTAGGAACATTTCACCTATGTTGCTGCAAACAATGCTTTATGGCAGGTGGAAAAAGGGCAAAAGTATGATTGGGGGTGAATATGATTACACTGTTATATACATGTATGAAAATGCCATGAAACCTATTATTGTATATAGTTAATAGATCCTACTAAAAGTAAAGCTATACAAAAAAGAATTAGGGCCCATGTTAGAAAGATGGCTCACTTGCTGTTCTTATGGAGGATGAGAGTTCAGTTCCCAGCACCCACCTGGTGGATCACAATCATCAGAAACTGCAGTTCTCGGTAATCTGATACCCTCTTCTGGCCTCCAAGGGTACCAGGTATGTACACGGTGCACACACATGCATGCAATCAAAACACGTTAAAATTAGGACCCAAGAAATCATAATTGCAAGGCTGAAAAATCCCTATAGTTGACTGCCAATACAATTCAGAAAATAGGAAGCTAGTGTTTAATAGTTGTCTGTGCAGATTAAGGTCCAAATCATGCCATGTCAGGATTTCATCCCAAATCTTCACCCAATAGGTGACCTGAAGTGTCTATAGAATATATTAGGTATCTCTTATTAGAGCAGTAATAGGTAACATTTCCTGTGTTCTGTCAAATATGTATTTTCCAGTTAAGTATTGCCAGCATAATGAGCTTTCCAATGTAAACAAGAATTCCTAGAAAGAAAAGCTGTGGATAAAAGGATGTTTGATTAAAACTTTAATGATGTGGAGAGGTTGGAATGTTGTGGTTCCAGAACCTAATTAATTTATCTTGGGCTATCTTTTTGCTATATGTTAACTAAGCTTTTCTTGCCACCCACTCACCTGACCCCTACTGATGCTAACATCCTATGACAGATATTAAAAGCCTTTTGGGATGTATTAACAAAGCCCTAGATTTTTACTAAAGAACTGTCAGATAATGTCTAAGTCAGTGGTTCTCAACCTTCCTAATGCTGTGACTCATTAATATAGTTCCCCATGCTGTGGTGACTCCTCAACCATAAGATCATTTTTTTTTTACTAATTCATAACTATAATTTTGCTATTGTTATGAATTGCAATGTGAATATCTAATATACAGACTATCTGGTGTGTGAGCCACAGGTTGAGAATCACAGAACTAAGTTCTATAACAAAGTTCTCCTTGTCATTCTATAACCTGCCTACCTAATACACCCAAGAAAATATTTGAAAAGTGCTTTAATTTGTTTTTATTTGTTCTGTTACTATAAAAAGTTCATTAAATTGTTACTTCATCAAAGCACACTATTTGGAGAAACCTAAATCTGTGTTCTGAGGTGACTGTTGCTCATATTTGGCTCCAGAAGGCATTATTTTCCCCTTTGAGGGGAGAGCTGGGTTTCTGCCTCAACACCAATGATCACGATGGACTGTTCATTGAAGGATATATTAGTCTCCAGAATCTCACCAGATGGATCACTTCCCACACACTACCGTCACTGCCAGCATTTCTGTCCAAGGGTACATCTAATGCTACATGCTAAACTTCCCATCTGTCAACAGGATTCAAGCTTGCAATATCTTGTTGCTGAACACTAACCACTATTTTATTAATGATAGTTTTATATCTTAATCCTAACTCTGAAACATAGAAGGCATCCTTATACTATTTTCGTAACCTGTGAGCTTTATGACAATATTATGTCTCTGAAATGTCTCCTCTAAAACCGTACCAGTGTTCAAACTCAGGACGTCATACATGCCACCATGATTATTCTACCACTGAGCCTTATGCTCAGTCTGAGAGGCCTATAAAATATCTTTGCATACAGTTTTTTTTTTTAGTTTTTCAAATCATTTTGTTAATTTAAATTAGAAAAAAAGCTTGTTTTACATGTCAATCCCAGTTCCCTCTCCCTCCCCTTCTCCCCTACCCCCCACCGACCCTCCATCCCATCCCCTTTCTGCTCCCCAGGGAGGGTGAGGCATTCCATGGGGGAATCTTCAAAGTCTGTCCATCA